TCAATGGATCACATGCCCTGGCCCCCAAAATAATAGAAGCATTGACCATCAGGGGTCAACAGGGTGAAAATTTCTTCTAGGAGTTATATGAAGATTTTGACATGTGTGTAACAGTATGGGTATGGGTATGGGTATGAATATGGCTCCATGGCTCTATGGCATTGTAACACAGAAACGATCTTTCAGCCAATCAATTGAGCTTTCAAGAGGAGACTCCACTCCAGAACTCCCACTCAGATAACAAATTGGAACTGTTATCTCTTCAATTAAACACTAGAAATCAAGCAAAAATAGTTCCGTATACCTTATCTAGCCAATAGACTAGTTCCATGCCCAGAGAACTTATATTCCAAGATCTCATGAAAAAACAAAACAAGAAAAAAAGTTTTGCAAAACCCATCTGCGTCATTGCGAAAACACTTGTTCCACGCTCACCGCCGGCTCCGGCTCCACCGCCACCGCCCTCTGATTGAAGGGAGTCGTGCGACTGCATGAACACATTTACATACATATGTACATATGTACATACATACATTCCTAAAGACACATATGTACGTATAGACAGGTGTACATTAATATGTATGCACATATATGTAAATATGTATGGATAAACGAGTGTTATGTCATGTCTCTTATCATGGCGCCTTGTACCGCAAATTCTTTTCCCATGTATCGATTTAATCAGTTTGTGTTCTTGTCTTTTGCTTATCAGTTATCTATCTACATACAAGTCGAGAGAGGGACACTACACACACACACACATGGGCACAGGCACAAACTTGACCCCTTTATAGCATTGATTTGGGTGGGGGCGGAGACGGGCGGCATTGAGTGCCTCGCATCACTTTCATTTGGCGGCAATTCAATTACATTTGAATTTCGATTTAAGATCATTTTTTGTTATGTCTAGACTCTAGAGTTGGGCATCGGGGATCGGAGAGCGCAGATCGGAGATCGTACGGCAATCGGCTTTGAGCTGCTGCTGCTGCTGCTTCTAGCAAAGTCACCGTTGACGTTGACGCTGACGCTGCGCAGCCGTCGCGTCGCCCGTCGTTTTGGCGCAATCGAAAGTTACGTTACGTTTCGGGCTTGGGTTGGAGCTTTATGTAGACCCGCGCCGCATTAGTCGTACGCTGTGTGTCGGCGACGTTAGTTCACAGTTATAGTTTCACTCTCGAAAATAGTCACAGGATAAGACCCAATACCCCCCTCTACTCGAGCAACATCTACTTTAAACTGCTTGTAAGTCAATCGCTGAGCTGTTCCCCTCCTCGAGTTTGTACAGTGAAAGTTCACCCTTCCCTCCGGTATTTTTCTGACTGGAGTCTCCGCGAATTGAATCTGAACTCAAATTTGGCTGAACAATTTTCCATTTCAACGAATTATCATGGATAATCAATTGATTAGTATGTATTTGATGTCCGCTGGAACCAGAAATCATTCTTCGAGCTTACCCAATCCACCAACGAATTGAACTAATTTTTGTTGGATTTGATTTGCATTGAAAAACATATGAAAATTGGGAAACGATAAATGATCATATGCCACTACCGCTGCCATGACAATCCAAATCCCAAAAACTGTTCTGTTCCCACCTCTATCCTGAATTTATTTATAAATAAAATAAATAAATAAATTAAATTGTGCAATTAAATTGCAAATTGTTGCCACCGCAAATGATTAAATTAATTAAATTATTAATAGCGAGGGGCAGGCACACACAGACCCACAGGCCAGGAAAACACAACAGAACAGAACAGCAAAACAGAAGATTTTTGTTATATGTGCATGGTATATCATGTGTCATATACCATATCGTAATACTCCTCCGTATATAATAATAAAACTGTATACATATTTATGTACATCAAAACTACAACTAACTGAACTTAACAGAGCTGAGCTGAGCTGAGAGCTCGTGCCCGCATTTCTCCAGTAAATTCGACATGCAACATGCGACGGACTCCCACTACAGCCATTTCGCCATTTTCCTATTTCCAATTCCTTTCCATTCAGAGGGTGTTCTCCGATTAAGCGACTTATACACATACGTTAAATGTATTTACATATGCATGTATGTATGTAGAATATGGAGAATGGAATATAAAATGATGGCCATTGTGGGTATGGTTTTTCGATAGTTATTTGATTCGAATGCAAAGCATGTGGAAGCCACAAATAAAGCACAAACAAAAAACAAACGCACTCTACTATAGCACTCAGAAAGTGTGATTCGGATTGGTATTGGTATTTTGGGATTCTTAAAATTCCAAACATGAACCGTATCCATTCCAATCGATCTCCCTTTTTCGCAAAAATCCCCCTAAAGACCCTAACATCTTGACTTTGGCACGGTTCTTATTACCCCCAGTCCAATCCATTCAATATATCTTCACTGAGACGAGTCTCCTATGTCTTCAATTATCCTCTTAATTTGATTTACGGTTTTGGTCTTTAAATTCAAGTGCCTTGCAGCTTGTAGTGTGTCACGTGCCCCCTATTTTCGGGCTGCGTCTAACTGCCAAACGTGACAGACGTGCATATGACAACCCCTCGCCAGATACAATTCCAAACTCCAATCTATAGAGAGATAGTCCCCTTCCCCCGTCGCGGTTATCTCTTGAATGGCCTGTAAACAGTCAAAATCTAATTAATTATGGCCAATAAATCACTGACATCTGAAGCAGCAGCAGCAGCAGCGACGGCGGCGGCAGCTAAAGCTAATGCTTTGCCCTCTGCTGGCTGATTAGAGGCGATACGAGACGCTGCTGCTGCTTCTGCTAGCGGTGATGGCTCTTGAAACAATTAATTAGCACGAGAGGAGAGGCAGAGTGGTTGTACCACTACGAGTAGCAGCAGCAGCGTCTCTTGAACGTAAGAGGCAGCAGCAGGCGGAGCGGCCATAGTAGATTGGCCAACAATTGGATGAAGTCGAGCGTGGGGTTGCGGTTGCGGTTGCGGTTGCGTCGGTGCTGCATCTGGGCCAATATTTTGATGGAAATTAATGCATTTGAACAGATGTTTCATGGCCTTTTTCTTTTTCTCCAATTTCCAATTGCATTTGCAGTTGCCCACCCCCTTTATAGCCACAAAGAGGTAGGGAGGTAGAGAGAGGGGGACAGACAGACATGGACATGCGAATGGAGCTGGAGAGCTATGTGCAGTCGTCGCCAAACACTAAGCGCTTCGTTGTCGAGGATTCGAGTAAGTATAGAAACAGACAGTGAGCAGGGAGTAGTGAGCAGGGGAGTGTGGAGAAGGCCGAATCTTTCACGCCTTCACGCAACGGTGGTCGTGACCGACCGACGACCGCACCCGACGTACCATTATTTTGCGTTTGCTTTGGACGACGGACGGAGTGTGCGTAAGACTATTGAGCTAAGCTCTAGTAAGCCTAGTCGCACTTCAACTTCAAGTTGCGGTCAGCGACCACGAGCACGGGCTCGGGCTGTCGGTGGCGGTGGCGACCCTGAGACGCAGACGCAAAGCGATAAGCGCATTGCAAAATTGGAGTAACAAATCACTCTCCTCCGCTCCCAAGTCTTATTCCCCCCTCTTACTTACACGCTCTCACTAACACGCTCTCTTTGTGCAGTCACTAAGGTCACGTCGGATGGAGAGCCGCATGGCATGATGACCATGGTGGCGGGCCTGTCCGGACTATTGGCAGCCATTATCATTCTGGCCGTGCTTGCCTCCATGGTAGCCTGTCGCAAGCAGAAAAGGTAAGTGCTTCCTGCCCATCTATTCTACATATACATACCTCCTATACCCTCATTCTCTCCTCTCTTCGCGCAGCACCACCAGCAATAACAACAAAGAGAACGGCAACAGGAGGCTGAGCAAGAAATCGATAAATGTGGCAATGACCATTGTCGAGGAGCAGCCGCAGCTGGCGGGCAACCTAAATGCAGCCTTCGCAGAGAGCACACTGACCCTCCATGACCAGGATAAGTACATGGACAAGGAGAACGACGACAGTCAGTGGACAGGCAACACGCCCACGTCCGTTGTGGTGGAGCGGTATTAACCGAACGGATGGACGTGTGACGTGAAGACGTGATGCAATGTGAACGCTTGAGACTGAGGCGGCGGTGGCGCCGCCACATAGATTTATGCATACCATTTCATATTATTATTCACTTATTTTTAGTGGTTTGTTTAAAAATATAACCGTAGCTTTAAACCTTGTTCAACAAATTGCTGACTTTTCTGTGGTGTATTTAGCAACTCGGACAGCTGTGATCATAGTTAAATTAGTAATAAGGTGACGGATTCACCACAGTGCACAGTGCACAGTGCACAAAGAGGTTGTGTATCGCACGATTTTTTCATTGTCTTCTTCGTTTTATTCATTGTTTACGAATTAAGACGTAAGCGGAAGACAATGAAATATGCATGCAACTACTATTCTATTTTGGATGTGTAATGAAATGTGTATGTAATTTAATCTTTATTCAATTACATATTTTTTAGAAACAAACATATTTTTTGCTTTACCGCTCCAAATCTTTACTTTGCTATCAGCAGAAACAATAAGAGCGAAGAGTGCAGAACGTAAAACGTTTGATATCTCTCTCTAGCGCTTGCCTCTCTGAGAGCTGAGAGAGCCTGGTGAATAAGCTGGTGCTGGTGAGTGGAAGCACTCAGCTCATTGTAGAATTACTAATAGGTAACGTCGTCAGCTGAGTGGAGGAGCACCAGCTTATCCACCACGCTCTCTCAGCTCTCAGAGAGGCAAGCGCTAGAGAGAGATAGCAAACGTTTGTTAGTAATTTCACCATGATTTCACCATGAGCTGGTGTTCCTCGAATGAGAAGGCACTATGGTGAATCCGTCAACTATTAGTAATTTCACCATGACTCAGCTGACGACCACAGTGCCTTCTCATTCGAGGAACACCTCTTCCGGCTTAGAAAGTGCGGAAGTGCGTTGCCACCAGCACTGGCTGGCTGCTGGCGTGGGCTGCATGGTAATAAAACGCAAACGAAACCTGCTGCCTGCCTCACACGCATTCTGATAACTCGATTCGAGATCATTCGGATCAGCGTGAAGTTGAAGTTCAACGCCAGTCGCTGGTGCTCGTGCCCGAGCCCGTGTCGGTGGCGGTGGCGACCCTGAGACGCAGACGCAAAGCGATAAGCGCATTGCAAAATTGGAGTAACAAATCACTCTCCTCCGCTCCCAAGTCTTATTCCCCCCTCTTACTTACACGCTCTCACTAACACGCTCTCTTTGTGCAGTCACTAAGGTCACGTCGGATGGAGAGCCGCATGGCATGATGACCATGGTGGCGGGCCTGTCCGGACTATTGGCAGCCATTATCATTCTGGCCGTGCTTGCCTCCATGGTAGCCTGTCGCAAGCAGAAAAGGTAAGTGCTTCCTGCCCATCTATTCTACATATACATACCTCCTATACCCTCATTCTCTCCTCTCTTCGCGCAGCACCACCAGCAATAACAACAAAGAGAACGGCAACAGGAGGCTGAGCAAGAAATCGATAAATGTGGCAATGACCATTGTCGAGGAGCAGCCGCAGCTGGCGGGCAACCTAAATGCAGCCTTCGCAGAGAGCACACTGACCCTCCATGACCAGGATAAGTACATGGACAAGGAGAACGACGACAGTCAGTGGACAGGCAACACGCCCACGTCCGTTGTGGTGGAGCGGTATTAACCGAACGGATGGACGTGTGACGTGAAGACGTGATGCAATGTGAACGCTTGAGACTGAGGCGGCGGTGGCGCCGCCACATAGATTTATGCATACCATTTCATATTATTATTCACTTATTTTTAGTGGTTTGTTTAAAAATATAACCGTAGCTTTAAACCTTGTTCAACAAATTGCTGACTTTTCTG